AGAGAAAAAAAAAGGAAGGGAGAGAGAGAGAGAGAGAGAGAGAGAGAGATGGGGAGAGAGAGAGAGAGAGAGAGAGAGAGAGAGAGAGAGAGAGAGAGAGAGAGAGAGAGAAAGAGAAAGAGAGCGGGGGAGAAGGAGAGGGGGCTTGAAGAGCGAGCGAGTCGGACGAGGAAACTACAGTCGAGTTGTTTTACGAATCGGCGCTCTCGCTGACCAGGGTCGGGCGAAAACCCCGGACTGCAGTTCGGGCTTGGCCTGCACTTTTGAGCTCCGGGTTGCATGTTCGGATCCGGGTCCTCTGTATAAACCACGATATGCTTTTGTGCGGTTCGGATCCGCTTTTCTCTGTATGAACCTCAATTTACAGTTGCATGTTCGGATTCGGTTTCTCTGTGTAAACCTCGATATGTTGTTGTGTGGTTCGGGTCTGCTCTTCTCTGTATGAACCTCAATTTACAGTTGCATGTTCGGATTCGGTTTCTCCATGTGAACCTCGATATGCAGTTGTGCGGTTCGGCTCCTCTGTATGAACCTCAATTTGCAGTTGCGTGATTGGATTCGGTCTCTCAGTGTGAACCTTTATTTGCAGTTGTGTGGTGCGGGTTCGGTTTCTCTGTATAAAACTCAATTTGCAGTCAGGGTGTTTGGGTTCGGTGTCCCAATGTGAACCTCTATTTGCGTTTGTGCTGTTTGGGTTGGATATCTTTGCGTGAACTTCAATTTGCCGTTGGACTACACTCACGAACTTCGAGTCGCAGTCTTGGTCTTGTTTATAGGTGCGACTTTTTGGTTGCCCTTGTTCCGTGTGAAACTTCAAGGTGCTCACGTCCACTTCCAAACTCAGTCTGTAGTCACCTTGTGCTTGAGCCCATCGCTCCTTGTCTCCACGGTCGGTTTGCCCCGGCTCTGGGTTATTCGTGTAGCTATCATGAACCTGAACCGGAGCGGCTCAGGATCAATTACCCGTTTCCCTGAGTTTGGGCCATAACCGATCTGGAAGTGGAATACCGGAAAGGGTAGTGTGAATCCTGAGGTTTCGTTACCGGGGTAGGCCCCGAATCTGTCGTATGGGTCGAGACGAAAAAGAAAGGGGCGGGGTGGAGCCGCCAAGGCCCAAGAGGATTAGGAGTCGAAAGGGGGTGCACGGAGTGGGCGGGGCAACCACCTAGCAACTGAGGGAATCGGGCAGCCCGCGCCGTTGCCGGGGATGGGCTTTTTCCTGTGGCCTCGGCCGGCTCACGGACTTCGGTATGAGGGAGAACGAGAGTGACAGGTAGTGGAGGGCTCATTTTTTTTGGTATCGGCAACAGTTTCTTCGGCAGTTTTCATTTTCGGCATCAACTTTTTCAACGGCATTTTCTCGGCATCAGTTTTTTTGGCAGTTTTCCTTTCGGCATTAACTTTTTCAACGGCATTTTCTCGGCACCAATTTCTTTGGCAGTTTTCCTTTCGGCATCAACGTTTTTCAATGGCATTTTCGGCTTCGAAGTTCCCCG